GTGGGGAACCAGGGCTGGTGGTGAACCAGGGCTGGTGGTGAACCAGGGCTGGTGGTGAACCAGGGCTGGTGGTGAACCGGGGCTGGTGGTGAACCAGGGCTGGTGGTGAACCAGGGCTGGTGGTGAACCAGGGCTGGTGGTGAACCAGGGCTGGTGGTGAACCTGCACCTCCCACACACCTGCACACCCCACATACACACCTGCACACCCCACACACACACCTGCACACCCCACACACACACACCTGCACACCCCACACACACACACCTGCACACCCCACACACACACACCTGCACACCCCACACACACACACCTGCACACCCCACACACACACACCTGCACACCCCACACACACACACCTGCACACCCCACACACACACACCTGCACACCCCACACACACACACACACACACCTGCACACCCCACACACACACACCTGCACACCCCACACACACACACACACACACCTGCACACCCCACACACACACACCTGCACACCCCACACACACACACACACACCGGCACACCCCACACTCACACACACCTGCACACCCCACACACACACACATGCACACCCCCCAAACACACACATGCACACCCCCCACACACACACCTGCACACCCCTCACACACACACCTGCACACCCCACACACACACACACCTGCACACCCCACACACACACACCTGCACACCCCACACACACACACCTGCACACCCCACACACACACCTGCACACCCCACACACACACCTGCACACCCCACACACACACCTGCACACCCCACACACACACACCTGCACACCCCACACACACACACCTGCACACCCCACACACACACATGCACACCCCACACACACACACACCTGCACACCCCACACACACACACCTGCACACCCCACACACACACACCTGCACACCCCACACACACACACACACACACACCTGCACCCCCCACACACACACACCTGCACACCCCACACACACACACACACACCTGCACACCCCACACACACACACCTGCACACCCCACACACACACACACACACACCTGCACACCCCACACTCACACACACCTGCACACCCCACACACACACACATGCACACCCCCACACACACACATGCACACCCCCCCACACACACGCATGCACACCCCACACACACACACCTGCACACCCCTCACACACACACCTGCACACCCCACACACACACACACCTGTAGCATCAACCCCACACACACACACCTGTAGCATCAACCCCACACACACACACACCTGTAGCATCAACCCCACACACACACACACCTGTAGCATCAACCCCACACACACACACCTGCACACCCCACACACACACCTGCACACCCCACACACACACCTGCACACCCCACACACACACCTGCACACCCCACACACACACCTGCACACCCCACACACACACACCTTGCACACCCCACACACACACACCTGCACACCCCACACACACACACCTGCACACCCCACACACACACACCTGCACACCCCACACACACACACCTGCACACCCCACACACACACACCTGCACACCCCACACACACACACACACACACACCTGCACACCCCACACACACACACCTGCACACCCCACACACACACACACACACACACCTGCACACCCCACACACACACACCTGCACACCCACACACACACACACACACACACACCTGCACACCCCACACTCACACACACCTGCACACCCCACACACACACACATGCACACCCCCCACACACACACATGCACACCCCCCACACACACACATGCACACCCCCCACACACACACCTGCACACCCCACACACACACACACCTGCACACCCCACACACACACACACCTGCACACCCCACACACACACACCTGCACACCCCACACACACACACACCTGCACACCCCACACACACACACACCTGCACACCCCACACACACACACCTGCACACCCCACACACACACCTGCACACCCCACACACACACCTGCACACCCCACACACACACCTGCACACCCCACACACACACCTGCACACCCCCACACACACACCTGCACACCCCACACACACACCTGCACACCCACACACACACACCTGCACACCCACACACACACACCTGCACACACCCACACACACACACCTGCACACCCCACACACACACACCTGCACACCCCACACACACACACCTGCACACCCCACACCCACACACCCCTCACACACACCTACACACCCCACACACCCTACACACACCTACACACCCCACACACCTGCACACCCCCATACACCTGCACACCCCCACACACCTGCACACCCCCACACACCTGCACACCCCCACACACCTGCACACCCCCACACACCTGCACACCCCCACACACCCTGCACACCCCCACACACCTGCACACCCCACACACCTCTACACACCCACACACACCCCACACACACCCCGCACACCTCTACACACCCCACACACCCCACACACCCCACACACCCCACACACCTCTACACACCTCTACACACCCCACACACCTCTACACACCCCACACACCTCTACACACCCCACACACCCCCACACACCCCCACACACCCCACACACCCCACACACCCCACACACCCCACACACCCTACACACCCCACACACCCCACACACCCCACACACCCCACACACCCCACACACCCCACACACCCCCCACCCACACCCCCCACACACCCCACACACCCCACACACCCCACACACCCCACACACCCCCACACACCCCACACACCCCACACACCCCACACACACCCCACACACCCCTACACACACACACCCTACACACCCCACACACCCCCCCACACACACCCTACACACCCCACACACCCCTACACACCCCACACACCCCTACACACCCCACACACCTACCTCTGGCCACCTACCACGAATTCAGACCACCAAAGAAGCGGAGGAGAAAATAAAGAGAGGCGCTAAGATGAGAACCTTCCCAGGACAACACCGCCAGATGGCTCCTCCTCCCGAGTGCTTGCACAACCAACATCACTCTCCTGTTTTTATCTCTTGTTGACACCTACATCCGTCATCACGAGAGTGTGAGTGTCTCTCTCTCTCTCTCTGTCTCTCTCTCTCTCTCTCTCTCTCTCTCTCTCTCTCTCTCTCTCTCTCTCTCTCTCTCTCTCTCTCTCATGCCTGACAGAAGAGAACTCCTTCATGTCAAATATTCCTCAGATAAGAAGCTGTCTGTGTGTTCTTGGCAGCTGCTCAGAATAGTGTTAAAATCTTCCCCCCTGAGACAGATATCAACAGACGGGGGGAAGCCAATTGTTATCGTGCCGTCAGAGAAAACTCTTACGATATGCACAGGCGTTATCACCTGGCATGAGTGGTGGTGGTGATGTTGATGGTGGTGGTGGTTGTAGTGATGTTGGTGGTGGTGGTGCTGATGGTGGTGGTTGTAGTGGTGTTGGTGATCGTAGTGTTGATGGTGGTGGTGTTGATGGTGGTCGTCGTGGTGGTTGTGGTGGCACTCTTGCTCGTGGTGGTAGCGTTGTGTTACGGTAGATATTTGGTTGTCACTCTTAAACTTGGAATAGGTTTCCCTGTGTTGACTTTACTGTATGTTGATGTGTGGTGTGGTGGTGGAGCCTAGCCGTGCCCCCTGGTCAACCACCAACACAGTAATTGAGAATATGTTATATTCTCTCTAGAGTCTAGAGTTATAGAGAATATGTTATATTCTACTCTATTCTAGAGTAGAGAACAGTGCGCAAAATCCGTGACCCCGAACTCGTAACAGGTTACGAATTTTCGCGGAGAAATATATTACTAAAGTCAGCGCCATCTTTTGTTTATACGAACAGCTGCAGCCAAAACTTGTTTCAGGTGTCCACGCTCTGCCTGGCAACACTGACACTAATCCAGATGAATTGACAAACTTTTTACGTTTTAATTTGTTTGTTTTAACAGCGTGGCATTAAATCAGCAATTTTTTTGTTGTTTTTTACCATTGGTGATTTCATGTAGTCGTAAATCAGGTGATATAAACGGGTGATGGTTCGCTCCGGGCGTCCTAGGCTTGTATCCGGCTACAGTATGTAATATTGTTGGTTTACATATGATTCTGTTTAGGAAGATGTCATTTAAGACGTGTGAAATCTTGTGCCTGAAGTTACTATACTGGGTACAGTGGTGGACACTGTTACTGTGTCACTGTCTTGGGTATAGGAGTTAGTGAGAGTCAATTCGCTCTTCCCCAAGTCTCTTTATACTCCCTGATAAAGAGTCCTCATACTTGCTGATGCACTCCCTAGTGCATCACTCTCCCTATCACTCTCCCACTAATACTGGGAATGGATAGAAGCAGCTGCATGCCCAGAAGTACCGGTAACTCCTGGTACTCTCTCCTCACCGGGGTCCGGTAACTCCTGGTACTCTCTCCTCACCGGGGTCCGGTAACTCCTGGTACTCTCTCCTCACCGGAGTCCGGTAACTCCTGGTACTCTCTCCTCACCGGGGTCCGGTAACGCCTGGTACTCTCTCCTCACCGGGGTCCGGTAACTCCTGGTACTCTCTCCTCACCGGGGTCCGGTAACTCAGGCAGGTAAACAAGTACTTCAACACATAACACCTTTATTACATTTAACACAAATACAACATCAACGGACTAGATAGTCTTAACAGTAGACCGTGATTTGTCATTGGCGTGTTATTGATACACGGAAAATATATCAAGCTTGTCCCCGGGCCGGGCTTAGGAAGAACTCTGAGAACCTTATCCAGGTAAGATCAAGGTATATTCACATGGGATCTTAAGAGTTTTGCTACTTTTCTAATGCATACATTCAGAGAACCAGTTTAATATGATGTCGTTTCATTCTTTGTATTAGAAACTTGGATGTTAATGTGTAATATATATATTACATGTATACAGTAATATATCTGTAATTATGTAATATGTTATTATGTAATATGTATGTTATGTAATATACATATATATATGTTATTATGTAATGTGTTATTATGTAATATATCGGTTAATTATATTTATATTCTGGAAAAGTGTTAAGTAAAAATAATCTAGAAATGTAACTTGAAAATACCTTGTCGTAGTGTGTATATGTTGTGTGTACATGTCGTCGTGTATACATGTCGTCGTGTGTACATGTCGTCGTGTGTACATGTCGTCATGTGTACATGTCGTCGTGTGTACATGTCGTCGTGTGTACATGTCGTCGTGTATGCATGTCGTCGTGTTTACATGCTGTGTTTGCCTCCCGTATGTGTCTACCCATCGTTTCTACCAGTTGTATCTACCCGTCGTGTCTACCAGCGTGTCTACCTCTGGTACCTCGCCAAAACTCAACAAAAAAGGGCTGATGCACCTAAATATTCCTCAGTAGCATGATGATGATGATGATGATGATGGTGATGATGATGATGATGCGAGAACTGTCCGCACCTCGCCTGCTCTAACTGTCCGCACCTCGCCTGCTCTAACAAGTAACACTAACAGTGTGTTCTAACAACACTAACAAGTCTCAATGGAGAGATTTGAAACTTTGTATTTGATGAAAAATTACTTTTGATCGGTGTTTGTGGCCAAAGATTCAAAAGTTAAGATCGCAGTGTTATGAATTTCATAATACAGTTCTGCAATTGTCGCAGATGTTTGATTCTGTTGCTCGGACACCTGTGGGGCGTGTGCGCCCTAGAACACCCACAGCTCCTCAAGCTTTAACATTATATATTAAACATGAATACGAGGAGTCACAATAACGTGGCTGAAATATGTTGACCAGACCACACACTAGAAAGTGAAGGGACGACGACGTTTCGGTCCGTCCCATTCTCAAGTCGAAGTTACGAAACGTCGTCGTCCTTTCACTTTCTAGTGTGTGATTTGGTCAATACATATTAAACATTCCTGCCATATTGGCGCTCATTTTGTACTATTACTAACTTAGCTTAGTGAGACAGAATATTGGATGTGCTGATACATCTGTACTAGTGCTTTTCCAGGCTGACGTTCTGACTTACAAGTGGAAATATAATCTAAGCTATGAGTTAGTTAATCCTGAGAGGAATTAAAACCTAGAGAGAAACTAGGACCTAGGCCAAATATAAACTGGAATGTGTGAATAAACTAAGACATTGGGAGATCCTAGAAGCCTAGGGAGGCTGCCAAGTCTTGTTGAGGTTGAGGTCATGTCCCGGGTGGAAGAGTATGGACCGGTACACTTCAGGATGGTCCAGCATATACCGAGGAGCGTAGAACCGGTCCAGGCTGTTCTTGACAGGTATATACCGCAGCTCGTCGTCGAACCAGCTGAGGAGAACAAACCGTTTTGTAAAGATCTCGTGGTGAAATGTCAGGCTAAAAGAGGCAGTTTAACAGATTATCGAAAGCTTTGTATATAGACGACATTGATCTTTCGACTTGATGAATATGTTAAGCCTTAATATTGACCTCGGTAGAAGGCAAGTTGGTACTTCAGAGTTTTGTGAGAGAAAAGTTGCAAAATTCTAGACTTGGTGAAAAAACAATAGATGCAGAATATGGTGGAACAGGACTAGATTACTGAAGGACTTAATAAGAACGATAATTTGGCACTGAACGCTATAAAAAAAAACATTTTAGTGTAAAATAACACGAGAAGACAATTTATTTCTTAGGTTAACTTTAAAGAGGAGGTTCGTATTAAATGTAAGAGAAGGTAGTGGAGTGTGGCGTCTTGTAAACCCTGCAGCCTCGCTGACCGGGGATAACTACCATGTTGGAAGGAACACTAATCACCTATACGAAGTTATTTTCGAGGAAAAACTAAAATTGAAGCTCATGTTCTGTGATAATGAAACACTTGTTCACTGAGAATTATAATGTAGTATTGCCTTGTAAAACTTGTGTATATATGATTTATATTGTATTTTCTTAAATAAAGATAAAAAAAAGAATTGGTTCTGGAACCGATTAGGCAATTCACCTTCATGTTTTTTTTCAGATCGCGATCTACCGCTTACTTTACAACCAGGTACCCAATTACTACTCGGTGCTTGTTGTTTAAGATTCGCTACTTGGAACAAAAAGTTCCAAGTAGCACGGGCTATGGCAAGCCCGTAGGAGTATATATATGACTCGGTGCTCGATCGTCTTTCCCTTCCCAGGATTTAAACCAAAGTCCTGTTTAGTGTGCTTGACGAGTATGTTCCCACCTCCAGTAGGGAGCCAGTCGGCCGAGCGGACAGCACGCTGGACTTGTGATCCTGGGGTCCTGGGGTCGATCCCAGGCGCCGGCGAGAAACAATGGGCAGAGTTTCTTTCACCCTATGCCCCTGTTACCTAGCAGTAAAATAGGTACCTGGGTATTAGTCAGCTGTCACGGGCTGCTTCCTGGGGGTGGAAGCCTGGTCGAGGACCGGGCCGCGGGGACACTAAAAAAGCCCCGAAATCATCTCAAGATAACCTCAAGATAACCTCACCATCTGAGGCTCCTCGAGTGTTCATATATTAAATATATATGTATATATTACATAGTTTTATTCAGGCTGAGCTCCCGTGCTTTACATCGCCAACAAATACACACCATTGTTCTCTGATTTATTGAATGAATATACAGGTGAGCAGTGTAAAAACTGAGACAGTGTTTCCTCTGGAAGCTGCTATATTTGATTACTATTGTGTACCTTTGGCCACTTTCCCGACGCTCTGTTCAATCTCAAAGCTCCAGAATTCTTGGAATTTGAGTTCTAGAAATGTTGTCTAGCAAAATCAAAGAAGCAGCGTGAGGTGAGAATAATGTTATATTGCAGCTTCAGGATAAAGAGCGAGAATGAGAGAGTTATCACAACTGCTTTGTGGATTACGACCTTTATATTAATAACTTGGCTCTTCTTAATGAATCTAAATGAATATCAACATCAGAGACTCGTATTGGATTTTACAGAGACAGAGCCCCCAGTATGACAGAGACAGAGCCACCAGTATGACAGAGACAGAGCCCCCAGTATGACAGAGACAGAGCCACCAGTATGACAGAGACAGAGCCCCCAGTATGACAGAGACAGAGCCCCCAGTATGACAGAGACAGAGCCCCCAGTATGACAGAGACAGAGCCCCCAGTATGACAGAGACAGAGCCCCCAGTATGACAGAGACAGAGCCCCCAGTATGACAGAGACAGAGCCCCCAGTATGACAGAGACAGAGCCCCCAGTATGACAGAGACAGAGCCCCCAGTATGACAGAGACAGAGCCCCCAGTATGACAGAGACAGAGCCCCCAGTATGACAGAGACAGAGCCCCCAGTATGACAGAGACAGAGCCCCCAGTATGACAGAGACAGAGCCCCCAGTATGACAGAGACAGTGCCGCCAGAATTAGAGACAGTGCCATCAGAATTAGAGACAGTGCCACCAGTATGACAGAGGCCCAGTCACCAGTATGACACAGTGAGAGAGAGAGACAGAGAGACTGAGCTGCCAACCGTACATTCCTTGCCAGATCCTGGAGGTGATATAGGTGAGGTTCTTCTTCTGAGGAAAGTCCCCCCAGCGAGGTAAATCTGCGGCCTGCGCCGAGTCCATCTTGTACACCATGTTCTCCGGGCTGAAGGAAGAGCAGGAACAGCGTCATACCTAATTCACTAGGCTTTCTTATTTGGTTGAATATTTCATGCTATGCGTGATATTTTGATTGTTGTTAACTTTGAGGTATTTTTGCATCGTGCTTGCATATTTTTTTAGACTTATTGACGAAATGTTATGAGAGCTTTTAACTGAATGTTTTACGGTTTTGACAAAGCTTTGTATATTATGTATGGAGTCTTGGCTGCGTATACTGTGTGTGTGAAGTTAAATGTTCACCCTACAGTTCTTCCAGCAGGCAGGAGAACAGTTCCAATCTCTTCATATACATCCCTCCAGAACTTGACCCTTTCTAGTTTCGGAATTATATTGAAGTAATGAATTATTTGTGCCAATGTTAAGATTACTATATTTACTTAACTGATGTATAACTATTACTAAAATAATTATAGAAATTATTATAAGTTGTTATTATTGAAAAAAGCAGTTGGAGCAATGAACCAGCGTTATAGTGGATAACAGACGCGTGATTTAGCCCACTCGACCACGACGGGATAAAAGATGTTGAACCCGGAACTCCACTGAGTGCACAAAGTGAGTTTGGAGGCCCCAGCTGGTGCCACAATCAGATTTTACGAAAAGTCCGCCTGCGCGCTGGCATATGGGTAATGGAGTTCTCCACCAAACGTCCCCTTGACATCACAAAGAAATCATAATGGCATGATATATCACCGAGAAATTCAGTTGGAACAATGCAGGGATTTAAACCAGCGTCCTAGTGGCAACCAGTGATTTCTTTGTATTATTATTATTATTATTGGACAAAGAAATCACATTAACGTGATGTATTAATGGTGAGGACACCTGGAGGGAGGTCCTCCCGGAGGGAGGTCCTCCCGGATGGAGTTGCTCCTCAAGAGAGACCCACCTGAAGCACCAAGAACAGTGCCAGCCAGCATAGTGCCCCACAGTGCCAGCTACCCAGTCCTTGACAAGGTGGCCCTCACTCCGATACTTCCTCAGCTTCTTGGCCAGCAAGTGATGCTGCCACAGATTCTTTTTGCGGATGTAAAACACGTTGTCATCCAGCAGCTCCCTCAGCATCCCCACTGTAGCCACTGAGGTAACTACGGTAAGCTGCTCCTTGGCCCCCTGGGCCCAGTCCAGCCATGATGCCTCAGCAGGATTCAGCCAGAAGAATCCAAAAACACTCCACCGAAGAGCAAAACTTATTGGTTCTGGGTAACCGTCGTAGAGCTTCAAGAAGGTTAGAATTTCCTTAGTTGGTAGTTCGTCAGCGTCGGAGAGCACGAAGAGGTCGTCATCACGAAGACCATGTAGTAGCAGGAGGCCCCTCTCGCCCAGGTAATACCTGATGTAGGCGTCCGCGATCCATCCATTCTTCTTCGAGAGTGATGAAAAGAAACCAAGAGGTATGTACACTATCTTGTCCTGGAAGTCCTTTAAGTAGCCTTCCCGGAACCTTTTAAGGAACTTGAAGTCTTTAGGATCCCCGTGCGCCGTGTAGTTTGACTCTGCGACGATAAATACGTCAACGACGTCGTACAGCTCGTGCATCCTCGCCTCGAACATCGCGAACTCGTGGTTAACGGGGACGCCGTTGATGACTCGTCGCGGCACTTGTCTGCGACTCAGCCCAGTGTCTGGAAATTTATTCCTGTACGTGTCGAACCATGCGGCCTCTGGGATGCCACAGTCCACCCCGAAGTATCCTTCCAGGCAGTGGCACCTTTTGTCTTGTGACTGCTGTGATCTTCTTATATCTGTGCCGCTAGTGAAGCAAGTAATATTGTTTCCGATATCTTGAAAATAATTTCGTTTGTCATCAATTAAAGGAAATTTAGTATGAATGCTCGTATTTGTTTTAAATTTACTGTCACTTATTCCGGACGCCCTTTTAGACGACCGGCGGCCATTGCTCTTGTTGTCAATACCAGTGATAATTTTACCTGTCCTAATTGTTAAAATATTCGTTACGTTATTATTGATAGTTTTATGTACGCTATTATCATCTTTATATATTTCTTTATCTCCATTACTGTTGTGTTCGGCTGTACCTCGGTTAGAGTTGTCTGCACTTATAAAGACGGTTTCACTTCTCTCGAGTGTATTTAACAAGGTACTTGTGCTGTCAGTGCTGTAAGTGACAAATTCGTCTTGAAACCCTCGACCAACGTCAGGCTTCGCCTTAAACCATCCTCCATTTTCTTGCTTATATTTCTCCATATTCTCATTAGTTTTTAAATGATCTTCCTCTAGGGGCTCATTGTGTGAGTCTTTCACACGATGAACCATTTGTTGTGGTCGCTCTCTCCCTCCCCAGAGGTCTGGTGTCTCCTGGCCGACATCTCGCTCCACTTCGCTTCTCCCAGACTGCCATCTTTCATTCTTCTTTCTCAGAGTGGCTTGAGTTGCGTCGAGTGTCTCCCCCTGGCTGTATGCAGGCTCCTGGCGGGGGTCGTTATCAACATAGGAGGCGCGGGTTGCAGTTGGAGTCGCGAAGAGAATAATATGTTGATCTACGCTCCAGCTTGCCTCTACAGTGTCGTTTCCTGACAGCTGCTGCTGCTCTTCCCGGCTGAGGAGACACACCGCTATCATTGTCTGGAAGAACAAGCAGGGATAAAAGGTATATCAGTCAGGGATTACCACTATCTCAAACAGGGATTAACCAGCATCTTAGACAGGGATTACCAGCATCTCAGTCAGGGATTACCAGCAACTCAGTCAGGGATTACCAGCATCTCAGTCAGGGATTACCAGCATCTCAGACAGGAATTACCAGTGCCTCAGTCAATGATTACCAGCATCTCTGACAGGGATTACCAGCATCTCAGACAGGGATTACCAGCATCTCAGACAGGGATTATCAGCATCTCAGACAGGGATTACCAGCATCTCAGACAGGGATTACCAGCATCTCAGACAGGGATTACCAGCATCTCAGTCAGGGATTACCAGCATCTCAGTCAGGGATTACCAGCATCTCAGTCAGGGATTACCAGCATCTCAGTCAGGGATTACCAGCATCTCAGGGATTACCAGCATCTCAGTCAGGGATTACCAGCATCTCAGTCAGGGATTACCAGCATCTCAGTCAGGGATTACCAGCATCTCTGACAGGGATTACCAGCATCTCAGACAGGGATTACCAGCATCTCTGACAGGGATTACCAGCATCTCTGACAGGGATTACCAGCATCTCAGACAGGGATTACCAGCATCTCAGACAGGGATTACCAGCATCTCAGACAGGGATTACCAGCATCTCAGACAGGGATTACCAGCATCTCAGACAGGGATTACCAGCATCTCAGACAGGGATTACCAGTATCTCAGACATGTATTGCCATAATTTAAGTTAGATCAATACTGGAATATGCAGCACTGACATGGAATTCGCATCTTTTGGAGAACAAAACTGAAATATAAAAAGTACGAAGGTTGCAGCAAGATTAGTGCCAGAACTAAGAGAGTTGAACTACAAAAACAGGTCGAGGGAACTAAATTTCACAACCCTAAAGGAGAGAAGAAACCAGGGGGGGATATGATCACAACATATAAGATATTGAGGGAAATAGACAAAATTAACAGGGACAACTTCTTTAAATTGAGAGAAAGTAGGAAAAGAGGAGACAGCTGGAAGCTGGAAATGAAAATTTATTCATTTATATATATATACAAATAGGTACATTGGGTTTGTGAGGGTACATAGCATGGTGTTTACATTCTTGTAAAGCCACTAGTACGCGCAGAGTTTCGGGCAGATTCAAAGAAAATGAGTCGAAGAAATGCAAGGAAACTTGCATAGGCTATCTGGGCGCTTAATACGTTTTATGCAAGTTGTGGCAGCCATCTCCGTACTCACTTTTAAGAAAATATTCGACAACATATTTATACAGCAAGAAAGTTAAATTATAACACTACAGGTACAAAAAGACACTCAGGCAAGGCATCACTTTTTTCCGTGGTCAGTGATTGGTAAGCACTCTTAGGTGACCACCACCACCATTGTCCCTACTGCCTCTTCCTGCGCCACTCACCTGAACAGCCACGAGGATGACTACACTGACCCTCAAGGACTTCCTCCGACGACACTCCAACTCCAGTCGTCGCCACAACCTGCCGGGCGGTCACGGTAAGTTAGCCTCCGTCTCACACCCACGAAACCAAATGTGTGTATTGGTGTGAGTGGAGGAGATCCTGCCATGTGTCGACCTGTATATACCAGTCAACCTGTTACGGAAGGTAGTTTGTGCAATACCTGCCTCTTCCATGGAAGAATTTATGTCTGTATCATCTAGTGTCTATTAATTTATGAGGACAGTTCGTGTCTACCTATATCTACCAGTGAAGAAGGTTGATTAATGCTACCCTCCTTCACTGAGAGAGAGAGAGAGAGAGAGAGAGAGAGAGAGAGAGAGAGAGAGAGAGAGAGAGAGAGAGAGAGAGAGTGAGTTACATATTCATAACAAATATGATGTCTATCGACTATCCCAAAATGGAAGGTCCGGGAGGTAATGAGTACTTGAGTCGGCTATGACTGGTATTTTCCCAGTCATCAATAATGACAAACTGTTTAGTTTAGAGCACAGGTCATTGAGAAATATCTTAGCATTCCCTCCGCTCTATTTATCAGATTAAATTACATGCTAATGATCCCATTATTTTTGTCTACTTTCCTCTTTCTAATTTCATTACAAGACGGTGTTGTTATTGTAAGTGAAGACGTGTAAGTAGTAGGAGGCTGTGAGGGGCGGAGGGACCAGTGTGAAGAGGCATAAAGGTAGGATGCCTGAGGCAGAGGGGGCTGGGTGGGAGAGCAGGCTGTTGGTGTTGGGATGTAGCTTCCGGAGAATCACGGAAATTCTGCCACGGGTAATGAGGCGAGTAACTCCCCCCCACCACACCGAGAAGGGTGGGTGGTACACCCTCTCCAGCGCACCCCTCACCCTCTCCAGCGCACCGCCCACCCTCTCCAGCGTATCCCCCCCACCCTCTCCAGCGCACCGCCCACCCTCTCTAGCGCACCGCCCACCCTCTCTAGCGCACCGCCCACCCTCTCTAGCGCACCGCCCACCCTCTCTAGCGCACCGCCCACCCTCTCCAGCGCACCGCCCACCCTCTCCAGCGCACCGCCCACCCTCTCCAGCGCACCCCTCACCCTCTCCAGCGCACCCCTCACCCTCTCCAGCGCACCGCCCACCCTCTCCAGCGCACCGCCCACCCTCTCCAGCGCACCGCCCACCCTCTCCAGCGCACCCCTCACCCTCTCCAGCGCACCCCTCACCCTCTCCAGCGCACCGCCCACCCTCTCCAGCGCACCGCCCACCCTCTCCAGCGCACCCCTCACCCTCTCCAGCGCACCCCTCACCCTCTCCAGCGCACCGCCCACCCTCTCCAGCGCACCGCCCACCCTCTCCAGCGCACCCCTCACCCTCTCCAGCGCACCGCCCACCGTCGTGAACTGTAGCAGCTGTCCCAATCCAACGAGCTGGCTTAGGCAAGACGTGATCCAGATAATCCACTTTAGGAACACCTTGGGTAGGAAATGAGAGTTTGGAAGGCCCCGGTGAGCGACGGGCAGCGGAGGAGAGACGCCAGAGCTGCTTCCTGTTATTCACTGAACTAGTTGTATTAGGCTTCTTGAAGACTCCCAGAGACCAAGAAAAGGATTTGACACTTTGATATTTCTCCCAATTAGCTTTATTTTCAGGTTATATTTGTAAATATAAATAAATTGAACAAATACGCGGTGCAGTGCTGTCCCAAGGGTACAGTGGTCCTCGTCCTATCCCCAGGGTACTGTCCCCAGGGTACTGTGCTTGCTCCAGTACTTTTCCTCATCCTCATGTCGGATAGATACAAAAACACAGATCATAGCTGTGTCATGCTTCGCAAATGACACTAGGATGTTTATGGGAGTAGACAAATTAGTGTAGATTACGTCTTCCAATGGGCCACATAAAATAACATAATGTTCAATAAAGATAAGTGTCAGCTCCTGCGGTATAGGAAAACGAAAATATCAAAACGAAAACCACATATAAAACTCAGTTAAACAACACTATATTGAGGAACAGAGGTGCAATGGTACTGAGAGAGAGGTCTATCAACATTAAGGGCCCTAAGCTCTTCAACACGCTCCCTCTACACACGAGGAGCATATCTATCCGGCCTCTCAGGGGATACCTGATCAACCAGGCTGTGACTCCTAAGTCAGACTATGAGCAGCTGTATCTAACAGCCTGATTAACCAGACCACCAACCAGGAGACCTGGTCAGAGACCGGGCCGCGGGGACGTTGATTCTCGGAACCACCAGACGGTAACCACAAGATAACCACACTACGGCATCCCGGGATCGATCTCTGGGCAGGACAGAAATGCTTGTGTACGTTTACTTTCACCTGATGCCACTGTTGAGCTATTGTAAATAGTTACCCTGGAGTTAGGCAACTGTTGTGGGTTGCATGCTGGCCATGGTCAGGTCTAGAGGGGCCTGGATAAGCCTAAGTACAGGCTTCCTGTCCCCCAACAACGGGAATTATATACAAAACATTATCATAAAAAGATAAATACGAGTTCATTATGTAACGGAAACGTCAGCTGCTGGGTGGTAGGTAACAGGTGAGAGACGGAAGTTGACTGTCAAGATAACTGGCGACTTCCTTCACCTGCCTCGCTGCTGCTTCTCAGTTCCTGGTTGTGTATCTCTCTACTTCTCGAGTTCTAGTTTTTGTACCATCAAGTGGTAATTCCACACAGGGGCTGCATACTCGGTGGTTGGTTTTACACACGTTGTGTTCAGTATTCAGAAGGCTTCCTTATGTAGGTTTGCATGTGGTGCACACATTGTTCTTGTAATGTGCGCCTCCACGTCAGAGTTGTGGTTATGCAGGTCTCTTAAGAGGTAGGTAGTGGTCCTTCCTTCATAACATACTGCTGATGAGGCCGCCTTCCACCTAATATTTTCATAACTTTGCACTTTCCAGAGTTAAATTCCAGTAGCCAATTATAATAATAATAATAATTTATTATTAATTAATTAATAAACAAATGTACAGATATATTTTGAAACGAATATACAGAACATGTTACAGCGGTTTATGAACAGTTACATCAGAGTATGTATCTCATTACCTAATTGTTTCTAAATCTTACTGCATTCTCTCACAGACTGAGTCTGTTCTAACTCTGGAAGAGGAAGAGGAAGTTCTAATCATCTGCAAACATAGATATGAGCAAGTCTGGCTCGTGCCAGATCACTGAAGTATATTACCAACATAATAGATACTAAGACTGACTCTTGGTGTCCCCGCCGGTCAGATCTCTCCTCTCTTCCATCATTGTGAACCCTGTTTCTTATCTAAGAGAAACGCCTTTATCCGTGTGAATACTTTTCCAGCTATTCCAGTGTTCCTCTTGTGTTTGAATAATTGTTTCCCGTGTAGGGCTGTGTCAAATGGCTTTTGACAATTTAGGAAGAGTCGACCTGCCCACGCCTTCCTTCCGTGTTTTATAATTGCCATCATGTTGTAAAGTATCCTTCACTGTTACCAACTCTCCTCCCACATTATTCCTCCTGCTCCCATTCCTTCTAATCTTCCCGATTTCTTTTCTACTTCCCCTTCCCCTCCTCCTCCATGATATATGTGGCAGGTCAATACCACACCTCCCACCCTTGAGGCGTGGCCGCTACAGAGCGAGAAGCCTTGTAATATGCTGTAATTTGTCGGCTGTATGCAACCTTTCCAAACTAACACGGTATTTCAGTAACAAAATCTCACCTTACAAACGGGCCGCGAAGAGACATTATTTTAACACTGATAATGTCCTTAAAAGCTCGTGGAGATTATAGAGGCGGCGCCGAGGCCAATACCTGGAGGGAAGAGTGCACACATAGTTCCGGCCAGCCAGGGAGCACCGCCTCAACACCGACAAAGCTTGGCGCTCACTGCCGACGCTCCTGTCACATGTGAACAAGTTTCCTACACATCGGAGGAGAGAGAGCCGAGTTGCCCCTTGGGATTTATATTTTCAAAACTAATCCCCTGCGAATTGCTCTCGGTATGACTGTTATGACTCGGTATGACTCGGTAGGAGAGAGAGCTTTCTCGCGGTTATTCTGTGAATAATATTTGGGCCAGTGGATGATATTTGAGGATATTTGAGGAGCAATTGCCGGCAGTGTGGGAAGGCGTCCCGCTAGGCGCCGGCGGAGCGGCCGTCCTGTCGCCAGACACTGGGGCGGGTAAAGACAAATTATAATGTGTCCTTGCGTCACGGAGTGTATAATCCTTCCCTCTATAGATCGCTTTTTACTACAACTTCTTACTACTCGTACTTTCTACCGGTTTCTACTTCTGCTGTTCCGTCTTGTTCCCAGTGGTGTTGCTGCTGTTCCTCCTTGTTCCCAGTGGTGTTGCTGTTCCTCCTTGTTCCCAGTGCTGTTGCTGCTGTTCCTCCTTGTTCCCAGTGGTGTTGCTGTTCCTCCTTGTTCCCAGTGGTGTGTTGCTGCTGTTCCTCCTTGTTCCCAGTGGTGTTGCTGCTGTTCCTCCTTGTTCCCAATGGTGTTGCTGCTGTTCCTCCTTGTTCCCAGTGGTGTTGATTTTAGTGCTATCCCTGCTTGTTCTTAGTGTTGATGTTCCTGTTTATTCCCACTACTGTTACTGCTGCTGCTGTTCACTCATGCTTCTGCTGCTGTCTCCTCATAACACGTAACACGACTCCTACGTGACACTGGCCTCAGGATTAACCCCGGACGGCCTGAAAATTGTTTCCTGAAGCAGGCTGACTAATTTATTTAACCTTAAAACACTGGGGACGGATACAGGCTCTCACTGTGCGTGTTTTTTTTTTTTTTGTGTGTGTGTGTGTGTGTGTGTGTGTGTGTGTGTGTGTGTGTGTGTGTGTGTGTGTGTGTGGGGGGGAAGGGGGAAGGGGGAGGAGGGATATTGTTCACCCTAAGCCATTATTGACGTCATTTACATCTATTAGGATCAAAACGGGTCCCAAGACTGACTTTTATCGCAAAGTCTTACACGTCGAGAAATACTTAATTCATTCATGACAATTTTGTTTAGGGAATACATGTATAAGGAGAGAGAACAGTGTGAATAGTTCCGATAGTGTGATGAGCAAGTTGGCAATCGTGAGGTGGCGTTAGTATTGACTGTACCTGGGGACTATCCTGCCTGTACTCTACCTGGAGACTATCCTGCCTGTACTCTACCTGGGGACTATCCTGCCTGTACTCTACCTGGAGACTATCCTGCCTGTACTCTACCTGGGGACTATCCTGCCTGTACTCTACCTGGAGACTATCCTGCCTGTACTCTACCTGGGGACTATCCTGCCTGTACTGTACCTGGGGACTATCCTGCCTGTACTCTACCTGTAGACAATCCTTCCTGTACTGTACCTGTAGACAATCCTTCCTGTACTGTACCTGTAGACAATCCTTCCTGTACTGTACCTGGAGACTATCCTCCCTGTACTGCTGTTCCAGGGGACTATCCTTCCTGTACTATACCTGTAGACTATCCTGCCTGTACTCTACCTGGGGACTATCCTCCCTGTACTCTACCTGGGGACTATCCTGCCTGTACTATACCTGGGGACTATCCTGCCTGTACTATACCTGGGGACTATCCTGCCTGTACTCTACCTGGAGACTATCCTCCCTGTACTCTACCTGGGGACTATCCTGCCTGTACTATACCTGGGGACTATCCTGCCTGTACTCTACCTGGAGACTATCCTCCCTGTACTCTACCTGGAGACTATCCTGCCCATGAAAGCGTCTGCCACTGTAGGACCGTCGCTGATCTAGCGATATATTGAACATAGTTTTTATGACACTTGGAAGGTATGGATACAGAAGTTATACAAGTCATTACAGTAGTTTGAACTTGGCCTTGTTTCCTATGAGAATATTATCCAAGGAGTGCCTTGTAAACAAGGCTGTATAGACTTTAATATATCTTGTATCATACTTTATGTTGTATAATGAAATGTATACTATGTTAAATTTTAAACTTGCGGAGAAACTCGTATCTCTGACAATACTAGCGAGCGCCTCAGTTACTGGAGACTCCCCCCCCCCCCCAACACTAGGTGTGTTTACTAAACAATGTTGATATAGGGCCACACTTAATTAATATAGTTTAATTATTATAATTTTAAAGAACTACTTTCAATTTATTACGGCTACGTTAGCAGATATTGGTTAATAGTAACTGGCAACTGGCGGAGCAATGTACCTCGCTAAGTAGTTAAAACTTGAAGGTAATTTAATAGCTTCAAGTATGTAATTTAATAGCTTACTGGAGGTATGTGTAAGCAGTAAGGTTCACCCCCATTTATCCCTGCATATAAGGAGAGTTTACTGTTGTCTTGGACTTTGCTTGAGGCTAAAGTATTCTTCCTGGTTGGTTAATGAGTAGAAATAGCCTAAGCTACTCTATCCCTTTTGAAATGTATTTTTTCTTGTCTCAATAAACATACTTGAACTTGTGGCTTGCTTAATGACCCCTCCCCCCGCAATGATCGGCCCAACACAATACCAGTGTCATTCCAGACTTGATCTTCGTCAGGGGAAAGATGTCTGTCCACTGCTGCCCGAGACTACATCTTAAATACCTTGTCTATAGTCTTCTCTTTTGCTCTCTTGGACTACTGGAAGTAGTGAGAGTTTGTACCCTATTTGAATTCAAAATCATCATGATTTCACGCTTTGCACTTCCAGAGAGGACAAGTAATTGTGTGGATACTTGGTGGAGATTGTTAGTGTGGCATTATTGCGCCTAGTGAAGTAGCCTCGTGGTGACCCGCCACTGAAGATGCGACACACCAAGTTTGTAGACTTATAATTATTTTCAGATTGGTTATTGATAATTGTATAAGTATTTATTATGTTGTGCTTCGGCTATATCTAACTCGAATTGTCATTGTAATGTCAGTAATTTCAGGGTTGTTGATCAGACTATCTCTGGTAATGGTCTGGTTGTATGCAAAAATTATAGGACCCTTAACAGAGTCTAGCTGTTTGTGCTTTGTAAAGCGCCTTGAAGTAGATGTTGTCATCTTGCCTATACATTGAGATCGTTGGGTTAACGGCCCACAAACGGGCATGAAAAGGCAGAGAGACGCTCGCCTTTTTTTTTTAGTCGTTCCGTCTGGTGTCGGGAGACCTCCCATTGAGCAAGTTGGCGGCTCTCTAACTCTTACAGTAATGGTCGACTGTATCTTCCGGTTAGTGTCGGTAGACGTCGCATTGCTCTCGTGTCTTTACTCTTTCCTTCGACTTGTGGGTTGCTGAAAAAAAAGTCCTCGTAAAAGAGTACAATAGATGGGAGAGGTTCTGTAGTGGCATAGTCAGCGTCGTGAGCGATAACACTCATTTACAAAGCCGGCTGCACCCAAAATATTCAAATATATATATAAAAGTAGCACATGACAATCTGTCACACATCGATAACTACAGTTATTGTCACAGCTTCATAAACCCGTTGAGTGAACTTCCCGTAAGGAGACACGCTACGTGTAGAGTCACAGCCCCGGCCGCTCCTGTGCCAGGTACGTCCACTACGGGCTCACCATATCCCGTGCTACTTGGAACTTTTGTTCCCAGTAGCTGAATCAAAAACTACAAGAAGCAGTGTAGAGGGAGATCAGAGCGGTCTTGTCTGTGGGAACCGACCTGTGAGATTTATATTTGTTTAATTTATATGAATTTATATTTACGTTAATTTATATACTTCGATAGCAATTTGTATAATGATAAGTGGACTGTATTTCTGCAATAATCTCATAATCTCACAAATCGATCCTCTACACATTAGGGGGGGTTTAATAGTTTATATATATATGCAGCCAATCAAACTACAAAATTAACTACATACATTGAAGAGGTTCCTTATCTTATAGTACAGCAGGTTAGTCCACCAGGTATAACTAGGGTGTAGACACCAAATTATCCTCTTTGAGGTAGCTTCCGTCACCCAGTAACTGGTGCACAAAATCTTCCTCCACGTCTTGACCTGTCAAAAGGGCGCTAGCTGTAAAGCCAGATACCTATATATGACAAGTTATATCAGAGAAAATACTGTACATGGAACATTGAAGACCTGGCTTAATTACCTTTAGTTTGAGGCGATTTCGCGTTCTAACCGTCTAACCCTACCCAATGACATTAATGGCCACTAATGATAGATAATGGGTTTCGGAAAGAACACTTAACTTGAATTTGTAGACAGCGTGTTGATAATGGTACACCTTTAGTTTCCATAACACTACTTCCAAGTAAATTTAACAGGAGCCGAATTTGCTCCCGTGTGAGCCTCTGGTCTAGTATAAACAATGGCTGCCCTCCTTCTCCCTGACGCCTGGCTTACATTGTCCACATGTCAGAAAGTGATAGAAGGGTCACATTTACTCTACTTTAATATTGATAATTAAGTTAATTTATATGAGATGTTTTTATGATGGTAAAGTCCAAAGACTAATGTATTTAAGAATAATTCCCAGCAGAATAGCTGGTCAATTATAATAGTATGTGGTGATGATATCCCGTTTTCTTTAGATGGTAATTCCACTACAAGTTACGTTTTCTATGGGTTAACTTGCTTATACAACACAGCTATTATCTGTCTGTATGATATATTAAATGGTGTCGGATTTTCCGACATTGTCTTCCAGAACGAACAACGACCCTCGGCAGGCTTGAAGAAATATATATATATATATATATATATATATATATATATATATATATATATATATATATATATATATATATATATATACCACCACGGAAACTACCACGAAACTATATATATATATATATATATATATATATATATATATATATATATATATATATATATATATATATATATATGGCACAACTCTCCTAAACATGAGAGTTAAGTATACAACTTTAGAACACTTTCCCACCAGGAGACTCGAACCCTAGCCAGCACAGAAGCCTTCCAGCAACTGGCATAACAGGTACGCCTTAAGGCTTCTGTGCTGGCTAGGGTTCGAGTCTCCTGGTGGGAAAGTGTTCTAAAGTTGTATATATATATATATATATATATATATATATATATATATATATATATATATATATATATATATATATATATATATATATATATATAATATATAATACGTTGTTCCTAATAGCCAGAACGCACTACTTGGCCTACTATGCAAGGCCAGACTTACCTGATAAGCCGAGTTTTTCTGAAGTTATAAATTTGTCTAACTTTTTTTCTTATGAAATGATCAAGCTTTCAATTATATTATATATGATTTCTTTTTTCTTAATTTGAGTAAAACTAATAAAGAAATATGACCAAATCTTAACCTAACCCAAACTAACATAGGTTTGGGTTAACTTAACCCAAACTAAACACAAACTCTCTAGTGACCCTCAGGTAAATTCAGCTAAATATTGTTTGCGGTCAATCCCCGACCGTCCACCAAATGGTTGGTACTATTCCTTTCCCCCGTCCCATCCCAAATCCTTTTCCCGATCCCTTCCAAGTGCTATATAAGTGTAATGACTTGGCACTTTCTCCTGATAGTTCCCTTCCTGTCATGTATTCGTACGTTACACTTTCAAACTGAGGAGCGGTGTGGATCCCTCTTGTAGAGGGATCGCGATGCCGGGCGGGCGATCCGACTCCCCGGTGTCTATACTGTTGTGTGCTCCTTATACTTGTTTACATCGAGATGACGTTCTCTCGTGAAATATAAGTTTTATTCCCATAATTAGGGACGTTTCTAAGCATTTCAAGAGACCAAAATGTGGAAATGGAGGGAATCGAGTACAGCACCGAGCCATTTGAGAGCTCATACGAGGTGTACGAGGAGATAGGAAGGTAAGACTGGCAGGCCTGGTGGGGGGGGGGGGGTCATTGTCTTTATCACCCGTCACTCATCACTCATTCATCTCAATATTATTATTTATTTTATTTTATTTATATATAGAAGAGTTTTTACATTCTTGTAAAGCCACTAGCACGCATACCATTTCGGGCAGGTCCTTAATTCTAATTTTCCCCAGAGTACGACCCGTCAAATCTTTTAGCAACCAAGTACCTATTTACTGCTGGGTGAACAGGGATTACAATTAATGTTTGGCGCCCAGTCAATCCTCCCCGGCAGGATACGAACATAAGCCAAAGCACTCGCGAAGAGCTAGAGGAGTTTTACCACTGCACCACGGAAACTACCTCAGCCTACCATTATATGAGCAGACTCCTGGTTCATCTTAATTTTTTTTTAAATTTTGCCCCGAGGGGCGAGCTTATTGGGCAGCACCACTCATCTTGTGAGTGGACACACCGCCATAGCAGCATTTACAACACTCCCCAAAAGGAAGAAAACCCGCTGGGTTGTTCATCCTATCACTTGTACCCAGACACAGCTGGAACTTGCTTAACTGTCCCAAGTGAACAGCTCCTCAAACAAGAAGATTAACATCTGTCAGCCCTTAAAAGCTTACGTTATCTTGCGGGTGCAAAATGAGGAAATCTTTTAAGAATAGTATCAATATTTGACAAATAGTGTTTTCCTAACTCAAACAATGTGGGGTTTATTATTCTACACATATTTCTAATGTCTCTCAGGTGTTCACATTCACGTAGAAAGTGGTCAAGGTGGTGTCTGTCACTCTCATCACAGATTCTGCCATACCATGTTGAGAACACTGCTTCTCATCTGGTTCATCTTTGATGTAGTGTTGACGTTTTGCCACCTGATCCTAAGAGTAGGGGTCTAAGGGCAGTAAATGGTCTAACCTTACCTAATCTAATCTATTCTATATTTTCAATTTTATCCCATCCTGCCGTATCCTATCCTATTCCCAACCCATCCTAACCTAACCTTTCTTATCTAAATCAAACTTAACAAAATTAATAGGTAAAATTTTGCAATCCATATATAATTCGCATGAAATGGGTGACATCACTGACATAGTTTTTTTTTTTTTTTGCCAGTGCAGGTTTTGGATGCTTCTGGCTCCTGGACTCCCACCAGACATTGTGACATGAATTTGAACATTTTTTCTTCATACTGCTGCCAAACATTCTTCTTTAATAAGCCAGATTCATATAATACCAGGTGCATTTATTACCTGGGGCTACAGGGAAGTTGTCAGATGTTTTAATGTTTTCCATTTGGATCTTCAGGTGGGGGAGAGGGTAGCCACTGCCACTTGGCCACCATTGGGTGTTGATAGATAAAACACCAAATTTGAACCTGGCCTCAGACTGGTCTCGGGGAGTAGAAGATCTCCCAGAACCCTCTCCAGGTATGCTCTCTCTCCAAGTATACCAAATGAACCCCAGATAATAGAAGCATCAGGCGTCATGTGAACTCTGAGTTGCCGAAAAAAGTCAAGGCTTAACAGAAAAATCACAGACTTCTCCAAAACTCTAAACTTCATTGGGAAAATGTAGCAATGTCTTCCAGTAACCTCTGGCAGACCAAGAGCCAGATTCTCATCAAGACCCTTAGGCACACCAGAAGCCTGCCAACTCCCGCACCTCTTGAGCCAAGTTGACACTAGACACCGTCTCGCCACCTGAAGAGCCAACCAAAAAAACGGAAAATATAAAATCTATCAACTTCCCTGTGACTCCAGGCAGTAAGACCATGAGGTGATGTGTAAAATGGGTCATTGAAGAAAAATGCCAGATGTCAGCATCAAAACCCAAAGGGCAATAATTTTACAGTATTTCATTGGTTGGCGGTTCCCAGGTGGAACAGGTGTCAAGAAATCTGCTCGGAATTAAAGTTGAATCTGGATTTAAATGTTTTGACATTGACTGCTCATGTACCTGAAAAGAGTACATTTAAGTTTTATTCTGGTGTTTTAACAAAGCTCCCTTTTGTAATTGTAAAATTCTTGTATATCATTAGCTTTGGCTGCAAATAGGTTATATTAGATTGCATTATCATTAGGCTGGGATAGGTTATACTAGATTGCATTTTTTAAATTTACTACTAGTATAATGTAAATTTTAAAATCCATAGGTGAACTGTATCCAGTTTAAATAAGTGTGGGGCATGGAGGAAGAATTTTAAAGCAAACGGTTAGAACAAGGCTAAATGCTGTCAGCCAACCTGAATGGTTAATAGGATTCACCTTACGGTTTCATATAGCTGAGGACAGGAATTCTGTTAAGCTTATCAAGGTTTCCCTAGGCCAACCACTGACCTTTACCAGTAGGCATCCCATAACAGATGCATATCTGTTGGGTACCTGTTTACTACTAGGTGAACAAAAGGAATAAACAAAGGGATATCTGTCCTACCCAGGGATCGAATCTGGGATCTTTGGTTGTGAGCCGAGGATGTAGACCACTGCACTACGGAACCCATTGCTAACTGCACTACAATGGACACTAACAAGCTCCTCCTGTAGCACAGTCGGCTCACAACTGATTGGTCTTGGGTTCAGTTCCTGGGTGGGTCAAGATTATTGGGCATGTATCCTTACACCAGATACTTAAGTACTTGTTCACCTAGTGCAGTGCATATACAGTATATCCAGCCACCTACATATTTTGGTTAATGTCTCAATAAATATTGCATTTATAGACAAGATTGTAGTGCCATTTTATAGATTAACATGTCTTGCTGCTAATACCATCAATGTTTCTGTAAAGATATTATTTATATTTTGCCTAATAGGAACCCCTCAGTAGCTTCTTTTTTACTTCTAGATTGTAGTATTAAGTGTTAGGAAAAATGCCATGACTTTATTACCCATGAGCATCTTCTGAGGATACTAGGACCAGAATCTGTCGCACTCAAGGAGGTGAAGGAGTGCTTGGAGATGAAAGATCTCTACAGAATAATGGAAATGATCCACCAGAAAGCCAAAAATGTTCCAAAACATAATAATAATTCATTGCATTGAGGAACAGGCTGCCAGAGTGTATTTATACATGTTCAGCTTCTATCGAGGTCCCTCCCAAAGTCAAATTACTGACTCCCCAGGATGTAACCCTACAACAAGCTAACTCCTGGGAACCTACTTACTGCTAGGTGAACCGGAGCATTTGGTGATAGGAAATGTGCCGAACCATTTAGGTTCCACCCAGGATTCGAAACCAGAACTATCGATTGTGAGTCGAGAACGAACCTGGATGTATTATCAGGACCCCTTGTAACATGTAACTGCTTGGAGCAAATTGTAACCTTGATAATGTATAATGCAAACAATTGTTACTGCAGCTAGATCACTGCCGCAATAACAAAAACATTTACGTTTCCTATCCCCAACTATGGAAACATAAGGTGAACTATACCAGATACACAATTGAAGCAAATGAACAAAGATCTAATCAAGTGTTTGTTTTTATATAAATAGATTGTTGTATTCCTTTATTGTTTTGATTTAATTCTTTTCTATATTTTACAGTGGGCAGTTTGCAGTTGTTCGCCGGTGTGTTGAGAAAGCTACTCGAGCTGAATATGCTGCGAAATATATTCGCAAACGGCGTGTGGCATCCTCCCGACGAGGGTTGCCCTTAGAATGTATTGCGAGGGAAGTGCGTGTCCTGCAGAAGCTAGACAACCATCAGAACATCATTTCATTGCATCAAGTGTTTGATAATGGACAACATGTTATATTAGTACTGGAGCTGTAAGTACAGCAGCTCTTTTTGCTGTCTTCCAAAGCTTAGTAGTTAAATATTAGTATACTGTACAGTACTGTATATGCAGATATTGTATTGTACATATTATTTCCTCTTTATAAGATGGCACATTTTGTGTTATTTGATTTTCTAACATAAACTTTAGTTTGTTTGATATTAAACATGAATTATCCCCATACACCTGTTCATTATTATACTCTGACCATTATTTTTCTTGCCTTACATGACCTTTATTTGTTCCAAAAACATTGTTTATTTTTATTATTTAGTTTGATAATGCTAATCTAAACTAATTTGTGTTTTGTTACTGTTCATACCATAGAGGAATGTTTGTAAGTGTTAAAATGTTGAGTGAAGTCTAATGTAAATGAACTTATTTGCTCATTCCTTAATAAGAAATTATATGTAAAGATATTATAAAAACTGTACTATAATGAGTAAGGCAAAACATATGTTCCAGGGTGCGTGGTGGTGAGTTGTTTGAGCATATTAGTGAGAGAGAGAGGTTGTCAGAGGAGGAAGCATCTGCCTTTTTGCATCAGATTTTGCAAGGTGTCAGACACATGCATTCTTTAGGTATTGCTCATCTTGATTTAAAGGTAAGTACAGTTCAGTACTGTATTGTATTTATTTTTAGTGTAAATCTATTTTGCCAAATATAAAGGTATTAAATCATATTTGAAAGACTTTAGTAAATTTTGTTATCCTTCACACATTCTCTAGTAACATTATATAATTTTTCTAGGAAGTATCTCCCTGGTACTTCCATGCTGGTACCATTGAGCTTAATGTCTAAGGGCTTATTTAATTTGTAAAATCATTAGCGTGTTTTATTTAGCTTTACCTTTCAAGTGTTTTCTGGGGAAAGCCCTTTGTGGCTTTTGTAGTGGTAAATTATAAATTCTCAGTGTTTTCATTTCCCCTTTTCAGCCAGAAAATGTTCTTTTACTAAGTAAAAATCGGCAGCATATCAAACTAATTGATTTTGGCTTGTCTCGAGTTATTACACAAGCAGAAGAAGTCCGTGACATGATGGGTGAGTCTCTATAAGAATAAACTTCAAATTCTTTAATGGTTAGATTTCCCTATTATTGTATCAGGGTATTGAGACGTGTGTATGTATACTACACCATTTTCAGTATGAGTGCAGTGAGAACTGGACTCTTCTGCTTCCCTACAGAAGCAGTCTTCATTTCGTAGTGGTAACACACTTAGTCCACATTTCAATCAACAGACTGACTGACCGACCACTTGATGATTGATTGATGAAGATTAAGCCACCCAAAAGGTGGCATGGGCATGAATAGCCCGTAAGACCACTTGACTGATCATTACCTATGCAGTAGTTATTTTGTTAACAAATTCTTGCTTTTCTGAAGAATTTGCTGCAGTTTAAAAAAAAATTTAGTTTATGATTTAACTTTAATTTCTAGTCTTTTGCTACTGATGGATCACATCACTATGTGATTCACGTTAAAATTGCATCCTCTTTATAATATTGAGACATATTTCACAAGAAGTATATGACAATTCTTCACTACTGTTTTTACTTTTTGGTATTTGAACATCAAAATTTCTTCCCCTTTTTTTTTAAACATTTCTTTTAAGTAGGTTTGTCTTGTTCTTGTTAATAAATGTTTTAACATTTTCTTTAAATTTGTTTCAAAGTTTGTTTACCCCTTAAAGAGCAGCTATCATCAAAATGCAGTAGTCACCTTGCCTGCAATTATATTTTTGTTTTTATTAAATGTCACATTTACATGCAAAATGTAAAGAAATATAGGAAAAACAAATATTTAAGGCTTTTTTTTTTCTGGGTTTGTGGTTGGAGTGAGCTAGGGAGCTGGGTGGGGGGAAGTCATCGGGTCCATCAAAAACTGATACTGTACTCGGTTTGCCGACTCATCGTGTAGGGGTAAGAAGACTCGTGTTCAAGTTAGCTGGGTTTTATCTTCATGACTTCATTTATTAGTTTAAATACTGTATTTTTTGTGTTGAATAACTAAATTTATGGTCATGTAACTGACAGAATCAGAGATTGAGTACTGTTTAGACCGGCAGTGTAATATGTCCACCTGTATAACACACAAGACTGTCATGGGCACAGCTCTTAGGAAGTGTCTCACAACCCACTCCTTTGCTGTGTTCTGTCTGGGAATTTTGTCCAGAGGTTGAGTCAAACACTGGCAGTAAAGTCCAAATTGTGATTTGACATCACAGGTCACTAGTACCTTGAGGTTACCTTGAGGTGATTTCGAGGCTCAGCGACCCCGCGGCCCGGTCGTCTACCAGGTCGCCTTAGTAGAAGGCTCCTCCTCCTTAGTAATAGGCAAAAAACTCATCACATAATAAGCAAATAAAAAATAGCAGCATTTTTGTGTAAGTTTTTAACTCCATTACATTCACATAGATACTGGTATATTTTAGTTATATTTTTAAAATGTTTTTAAAAGGAACAATAATAACTAAAAACATAAATGACAATTGCATTGACTCAGGGATCACATGTAAAGATAACTCCTCTTTAAGGGTTAAATGCCTTTATATAAACCTGTTTTGTTTTCTAATGTGTGTGTGTGTGTGTGTAAATAAATTATAGAACTTAACATAATTTAAAAATGCATTAGATTTGAATTAAATATGGTTAAGCATGATGGTGTCATTCAAATTATTTTGTGTTTTTGTTTGATTTGAGCTCTTTATAAGTAATATTAACTAATAATAAATAAAATAAAGCCTGCTTTATTTATGTTGACATGTTTATGTATTAAAGTTTGCCCAGCACTCTCGTAGATAAATAAGAGTATGATGTCTAAGTACAGTATGTTGTGTCTTATTTAATGTCATTGCATACCTAATAGTAATGGACATGAATAATTAATTATTGGTTAGATGTTTTGTCATTATTATTAGTCTGGTCTCAACCAGTTCTTTCATCACTTGCTCACTGATCATCATTTTGTTTTATGATATTGTCCACACACAACACAGGTACGGCAGAGTTCGTGGCTCCTGAGATTGTCAACTATGAGCCGCTGTGTCTGGCCACAGATATGTGGGCCATTGGGGTCATAACATATATCTTGTAAGTTATACAGTATACATAGTATCTGTACAGTGCCTCTAGGTTAATGTTGGCATCTCATCACCTACTCTGTAAGTTGCTTTTAAATTACAGTACAGTATAAGCATTTTATCCCATTTTTGTGTGTAGTGGGTTTCATTTTTTCACAGAAAGTATGAAGGATTTTCAAAGTATTTCTGGGCCTATATATATATTTATATACACATATAATATGTTATGACCTCATCCTTCAGCATCAGTATTGCCTTGCTGCATGTCTAGTTAGTTAGCATAGTTACTACAGGATTGTTGTTGTCTTAATATGAACACTTAAGATGTTCTGGGTACATTTAATAGTGAGCACTTTAATTGTGTAGAACATGGTTCTTGTTTATTCTTGCTATTTTAAACAAATTATTCTGTAATATTGAATTGTAAAATTATTATTTCTGGAGGAGCCTCATGGTGGCTTCCTGCACCTGTCTCACTGAAAAGTCTTCCCACTATTGAGTTACATCGGCCATAGGAGTCCTGTATGATCCGGGGAGCAGAGCCAGAATATGCCCCCTCCCCCTTTCACAGAGGCACAGTGATCAGGGTTATTGTTATGTTCACCCTCACCAAGAAAGCATCCAGAAAGTAAATGAAGCAATAGAGACAACCGCAAGGTTCATAGAAAATGAAGCATTGAAACAGCCAAACGAGTCTGCAAACAATTCACCCAGAAGCTAGCTCGAATCCACCCCCCTTCCCCCCAGTTACAACTGGCCACCAATTGGTGGTGACACATTGTGAGCTCCCAGCTTCTGTGCCATTGCTGCCTCAATCCTGTCTCAGATGTCTTTGCCCTTCTCAAGTCACCACTTGTAGCAAGTCCCATTTCTTTCTAGATGAAAAGATGAAGTGTAGGCCGTCCTTAGGACACTGTCCTGTGAGGGCTATTTACTTTGGTATCGTTTCCAATTTTGGTATTTATTTTGTGAGTGTGTTTCAAGCTTCATTTGTTGCGTGGACATGATCTATTATTCACTTCGAGCTGCATGTGTTTAGGGCAGCACTTCCCTAAGTATTTGTTTAACGTTATCCCTGTCTGATAGAGTGGTTTCTCTGGCGAGTTCAGGAGGTCGGTCTCAGGACCCCTCAGAGGTCAGGCTGCTGTGTAAAGTGCCTTCTCCTGGGCAATGTAAGAATCTCTTGACTCCCCTCCGAGGCCCTGAGGTTAGAGGTGTTAGGTTTCAGGGGATTTGTTCATACAGCATGTCTCTGATGCCCTTTGTAGCTGTGTTTATCCTGATGACTGTGTGTTCTTTCAGTGACACAAAACATAGCATTCTTGGCAACTTTGGGGTACCCTACCCCAAAGATACGAGACAAGCAACAGTAAACAAAACCATTTTGGCCATAAACAAACGAACTTGTGGTCATTGCAATAAATACCTAAAGACCGAAACAACTGGAATTATATGTTATACATGTAAGAATAGATTCTACTTGTCTTGTACAGAAGTGAGCAGTACCACGGGCCTGAGAGATGGACATTTACTCTGGGTGTGCTACAATGATTTGCCAGCTTGGAATATATTAAAACAACTCTAGATTCCATGATTCATGACAGGAAAATTTCATTCATTAAAAGCCTACCAACCATCCAGGAAGAGTGAGAAACAAATATTGGTGCAGGAGCCGAGGCCATTACAGAGATGAAACGGAAGTAGAAATTCAGGAAGTTGTAAACTGTGATAAAGACAACAGTGGACAGGAAAGTGTAACAGACAGCACTGACAGCTTGATAGGTACAGACACTACAACAGGCCTCAATAGAGAGAGACAGACCAGAAAGACAGACATTTGCAAATTTTATGCATAAGGCATTTGCAGACATAGATATTGTGGTAAGAGAAAGGGATTAGAATGCAGCTACCCTCATCCCAGTAAATGTCTAAATATACTTAGGAAGGGAAAATGTAGTTTAGGATCAACATGCAGATATTTCCATCCAAACATGTGCCGAAACTCGCTCGAGGAAAGGAAATGCTATGACTTCAGCTGCCCAGACTTTCACACGGAAGGCACAAAATGCTACAGAATGAGTTTCAAACAGGAAAATGGCTTTGAAGGAAAGTCAAATAATTTTTTAGATCCAGAAGAAAGTGATCTCAGAGGGTGGAACAGATGGAGTGTATGGTACTGGAACTGGCTGAAAGAGCCAGTCACATACCAGAGTCACAGGTACAATGACACCCCACAACACAGCTACAACTACAACAGGCAACAACCCTACAACAATTGGTACTGGTCAGAACAAATTCATTAAGCCCTCACGCATAACAGACCTACCAAAAAAATATCCCAGTCAAAATACAACAAATAAAGTAACCTTTCATTCATCTTTGCCAACATATTAGGACTAAAAAAGAGTTTTTAATCCTTGTATGATTACATTCTGGGCTATATTGAGTATTCTCCAGGGTCTTCTTGGCAGTAATGGTTTGAAAAATTCCCCAGCACACCAATGGGCAATGTCGACCTTACCCGAGTGCATCGTATCCTAAAACTACTACTGTACCTAAATAAAGGTTAATAGATCTTGCCATATGAATCAACTGAGTATGCCACTCAGAAAAATGATCTTCATATAGATGTACTGTACTGTACACTCAAAGCTAGATACTGTATATGATAATTTCTTTGCGACAATTAAAATGAAGCCAATTAAGACCCTTACTCTTTTAGAATCAAGTCTCTCCAACATTTATAATGCTATAACAAGCATTCCCTCCATGTTCTCAAAGGGGAATACAAAAAATCTTCCTTAATCATTTATCCATTGAATGTTTTTACACCTAATGTTAGTTAAGGTAAAACTTAAGCATTTGTTGAAAAGTTAACATATGTACATCTTTATTTTCTTTAAAGCCATTTTTTTCTTCCTTTTAACTAGAGTTAAAAGATTACACTAGAGTGTACCTTTTTTAAACTATTTATTTTTTGCTTTTTCAAAATTGAATTAACTTTATTATTGGAGTATGTTTGTGAAGAAAAAGTGATCTCCCTGCCAATGAGTGTACTTGGGCATACATTGTACATATTAATGATCCTTCTCTGTGGTGGTGATGTCGCAGGCTGTCGGGTGCATCGCCATTCTTGGGTGATACGCAGCAAGACACATTTAACAATGTGACTGCTGTGGATTATACCTTTGACGTCGAATATTTCTGTGGCACCTCTGATTTAGCAAAGGACTTCATCTGCCGCTTGTTGGTAAAAGATTCCAGGTAATGTTATTAATTTTTTTCCCGAAAGTGTTACTGTTGGATTTCACAGTTTGAGTTTACATTATTTTGTCATTCAAGTGTTATTAGGTAGGGATTCATGATATTGGTCTTCATTATCTTTAAAATTGTTGCCATAGACCATTTTAAAAAATGTCTCAATAGACTGTATCTTTATTATATATGAAGATAACCGTTTCCTTGCACAACTCTAAAGTTAAAGTTAAATTGCATTTGCAGGTAGGAAAGTGTAAAATATGTATGGCACATTTTGAATGGAAAACTGACTTATGTATGTAAATATTTTATTACATGCAATTAATGATGTAAGGTGAGGATATGTCATAACTATTAGTCATTACTTGTAAGTAATTTAAACCTCTTCTATTTTATAATACACGAATACAGTAGTAATTTTTTCTTATTCAAGAAGACCATAGATCCTCTTGTTTAGAAAGGCTACCCCCCTTGTTAGGCCCCATTTAGATTATGCAGCTTAATTTTGGACACTGCTGTATATATTGCACATTAATTCTTAAGCGTGTCATTCAACTGTATAAATCTCTGGTTTACCCCATTTGGATTACTGTATCCAAGCATGGAGACCTCATTTTCAGAAGGGCATAGCTGCTCTGGAGTGTGTGCAACACTGGGAAACAAAAGTCATTCCAGAGATAAGTCATCTCTTGTATCAGGAACGGTTGAGGGCCACAGGCCTAACAACATTGCAAACCAGGGATGACTGGGCAGATCTCATTGAAACTTTTAAAATACTGAACAAGTTAAAGAATGTTGATCCAGACAATTTTTTTCAATAGACCAGATGAAACACAAACAATGAGCAATGGTTTTAAGCTCAACAAACCTCAATGTAGGACTGAGAACAGGAAATGCTTCTTCACTCACAGGGTTATAAACCCATGGAACTGCCTACCCGCCGAAGCCGCAAATGTCAAAACTGTTATTTTTAAAAATCCACCTCATCATACAAATGGAGGGGGGAAGGGTGACTTTCAACAAGCCTTTGGCTTCCTGTCTTCATCGAGGTTACTAGTCTTAGTGGCCCTTAGGTAAATTAGGTATATCAGGTGTGCAGAGAAGGGTATCCAAGTTAATCCTGGGCATTAGGAACCTCCCATGTAAACATTTAGACATTTTGTAAATCATGAACCAGGAATCTGCCAGTTCTGTTATGTTAGGTTGTATGTAAATATGGGCTATCAAAAGAACTAATGGAAAATGTAAATATAAGCACAAGAGAAACTGCAGAAATATCCTAAATAGAGGTATGTCACTGAAAATTGCAAATTTTTCCATCCAGAACTTTGTAAAAATTCACTAAAAACGTAGGAATATTTTAACAGAAATTGTCCATTATTTCCTACCAAAGGAACCAAGCGAATAAAATCAAAAGAATGCCATTATAAATACAGCAACACCCATACATACCAGGGATAATTGTTAGTAAGAGAAGGGAAAAAGAATGGTGAGAAATGTCCAAACTCTACAACCAACTCGGTCAAATGCTAGACAGGACACACTACCAGAACCACAGATATTAACATCAAGTAAAATACCCTGCACTTCCACAGATACAACAACATCTTTCTTATTTGCCAACATACAAGGCATCAAAACATGCAAAACAGAGATAGTCCACTTTCTAACTGTTCTCCTAAATAAGGCAAATACACTGCTTTGATTGAAACTCACCTCTTGCAGATGTGTGACAGATTTGCTTTAAGCAGCAAATAGTAGAACCAACTAGAAAAGAAAACGCCTTAGATTTTACTTTTACAAACAATGATGAACTGATTAGGGACATATGATTACAAATACATATTACTCAGATCACAAACTAGCTGAAGTTCAGACATACCTATGTAGCCAGTTTAAAATCCAAGAGGAGGAGAGTTCAGCAATTAACTGGGGAACAAATAAACCAAGCCCCTCATGGAAATATGTTGGGAAAGACAGCTAGATAATGCAACCTTAAACCAATGCGTTGAGAAAATCGGCACAGTAGCACTAGAAATATGTGCAAGTCAAATACTGTACCACTAAGGAGAACGAGGGAAAAGATGCAAACTAGGACGAGAATGGCGTTCCTTTATTAGGTGACGAAAACAAATTGCAGAACATCTTAAACTCTCATCTCTATTCCAAGAACAAAAAAGAAGGCTACGTAGAGAAATTGAAACGATTGAGCTAAAGTTGCAAGAATCATATAAAATCCAAAAGAGATTTTAGATGGTGATTTTTCCACCTTCATTGAGGTCTCCAGTCCAATCTTCTGTGTTGAGTTTAATCAGTTATGGTTCACATGGGCAAGTGCTCTTCTTGGGCAATGATTCACAGCTTGATCTCCTCCCAGAAATAATCTTTTAAGTGTAATGAAACGTTAATGAATCTTAGGATTGACCATTTCATAATGTAATGTTAAAGAGTATGATTTTATTCCTACTCTCAAAATTTACACATAGTACTCAGAATTAGGAGATTCGTCACTTGCAGCCACCTCCCACAGGTAATGGTAGACAAACTTGATCCTGGCAATTATTATATTATGCAGTCTGAGGGATGTTATGTTGTGGCCAGTAAGGAAGTTGGAAAAATTGAGTTCTTCTCAAATCACTCCTACAGTTTCATTTGCTGTGACATCATTATCTATCATCATCATTCTGAAGATAAACTTCATTTGTTTTCCTATAATTCTTGCAGAAAGCGGTTAACTGCTGAAGAGTCATTGGCCCACCCCTGGATAAAGCCACAGTCTAAAGAACAAGAAGAAGAGCTTAGAGATGCCCAAACAAATATGGATAACTTTAAATCCTATCAAGCTAGACGGAGATGGAAGGTACAGATATTATTATAAATGTTAACTACTGTAGATCAGTATGACTGAACAAGTGTGAAAACTTTCAAAATTTTCTAGGGTCTTATAATATAGCTTATGATTATCTTTGGCTTATTTTGAGCCAGAGATAAGTATATATTTTCACATGTAGGGTAAGGTAAAAATATTTAGTAAATTGATTATGGATATGGATATGATATCAACTTAAGCCCAACATACCCAACATGAACTCGAGTCCTGGCTTAGTTGCTGTTGACTCTTCCCTTTCACAGTATATACTCAAATGCTCTAAACTTTCCAACAAAAGTGACCTAACATTAGTCTACCCTTCCTTTTATCTTTCTTTTTCTTTCTTGTTTTCTCTTACGATCCCTTTCTTATTCCTAGTATTACACCCTTTATTACACCTTATCTTCCATACCTTTTGCCTTCCTCTTCTCTTCCACTAAGATTTCCATCTCCTCACCTCTATCTTGCCTATTTATTGCCCTTGCCTCCTTCGTTTCATCACAATCAACTTGTTTCGATCCGTCCTGGACCATTATCGTCATCGTCTTTTCAATTTCTAGTGTGTGGTTTGGTCAACATTTTTCAGCCACGTCATTGTGACTCTTCATCTGCATATATAATTATCATTATATTATCAGTGTATCACATTTATTTGACTTGTACATTGTGTGGTTTCAAGTGACTGTGTATGTCCCTGTGGGGAATTAGACATTTGCCAAGCCATTGGGACTCAAGTCCTAGGGAGAGATACCAGGCCTCTGAGTTCCACCCTTGCTTACCGGGCGCTAAGACCAGAATCTGGCGCTCTCTATGGGGCCAAGAGTAGTTTGGGGATCAGAGAGTAACCCAAAAGTGAGAAAAATCCACTAGAAAGTACAAATTCAGCAAAACAGTTAAATGCTTGAAGTAAATTTGGTAACCAGAGTTAAATGCTTGAAGTAAATTAGATAACCAGAGGTAACCATGATGTACCTACCACCACCAAGATGGTGCCCAGGAGCCAGATTCACGAAGCAGTTACATCTTTCCTCAATCTTAGACGGCTTTGATTACATTTATTAAACAGTTTACAAGCATAAAAACTTCCCAATCAACTGTTGTTGTTGTTATAAACAACCTCCTGGTGCTTGGGAGCTCATTAACTGTTTAATAATTGTAAACAAAGCTGCCAAAGATTGATAAAAGATGTACAGGTTCGTAAGTGCTTGCGTAACTGCTTCGTGAATCTGGCCCCAGGTCACCCTAGGCTCCTACCACACTGCCCCACACCTACATGTATGGTCACCACATAGGATGCAAAAGACCTCTGTTAGAGCCACACCCCTCAGTGTTATTCTTGCAGTTAAGAGGTGTTGCCTAGCCCTGGGCCATTACTTTGTTAGCGTTAATTTTTTTTACCAGCTCCCCATTTCTTGTCCTTTGCCCTTATTTACCCATTGACCTGTTTGCACAATGTTGCTGCCAACTAGTGGTAGTGTTTAAATATTGCATGACAGCTCTTGTAAATCAAGAGCTGTCATGCTTTGATTTTGATTTACATGTTTGAGTTTGATTTACAAACCTTGGTTAGGGTTTATCTGGAAGGAGTTTTGATTGATTTTAAGTGCTTTTTGTGAGTTGTCACCTATTAGTGGATGCTCCCCACTGAGCTCCAACACTCTTACAATAGGGGCAAGGCAATTTGAAAGAGTATTTGTCTTTTGGGTCATTAGGGTGCTTAAGAGGCAGTGGAGCACTACCAAGGTGCAGCTCATAAAGAAACTTTTTGTTTCACTCAACTCTTTTTTTTTTTGTTTCACTCAACTCTTTTTTGTTTCCTCTCTTTACAGCATTCTGTTAAAGTTGTAACACTGTGTAATCGTTTATCAAGAAGTGCCAAGTTAAGAAGTCAGAGTGCAGAACTCTTGGATGCTAGGTCTAGTGCCATTACTCTACAAGAAGACCAG